AAACTATGCAGCCACCAGCTCAAATTGGATAGGTTTACGTACAATTTCATTGCGAACAAAGTGCTTCCCCCTGCTAGTATCCCGGATAATCAATGCTCCCACATCCGAAGTTATTTCTGCCCACAAATCATCGCTTCGAAAACGATTAATGGATAATACGATAGCAGAAACTGGTCAGTAGCTCGGGAGGTTTATTCAGCTCTTGTGGTATTTACGGAGCTGGGCAACTTGACTCCAAATGTTTTATCACTATCTGAGGTGACATCACCAATACGAGAATGATGACAGTTTCGTAACAGCAGCTGATGGAAAGCAAATCCAAGGATGGATATCGACAGCCGTTAATCCGTTCCGTTTATATATGCGTATGGCCATTCTAAACTTCCTCCATGAAAATAGAAATTGGGTGTTGCATCAGCTACGGTCCTCGCGATCAAAAGACCAAGGTTCACTTCAATGGGAATCGCGGTCAACATTGAGATTGCGCGTCGCAGTCCATCCACACAACGTGTACTTCAAAATGACCCTCAACATCGTTCATTATACCGTTGTGCCAAGTGTTGCCGTGACCCGGTTGCTTAGGGATAGCGGTCACAACTAACATCGCGATGGTCCCGGGTTTGATGTCTGCTAACTCTATCTGATGTGATGTAATAACTTCGAAACGAGTCATAGTAGTGCAGTGTTTTCGGGCGGGCAACACCCAATTTCTATATGCATCAGTTACGGTCCTCGTGATCGAAAGACCAAGGTTTACTTCAATGGGAATGGCGGTCAACATTGAGATTGCGTGTCGCAATCCATCCACACAAGATGTACTTCAGAATGACCGTCAGCATCGTTAAAGACTATGTCCAATTGGCTTGTGGATGCAAATTACAGCCTTATGGAGCAATTTAACTGCACTCTGGATGCAATCAATCGGGAAAGTTGTAGCAGTGTCACTTAAAGAAGCACAATTCTTCGTTTTCATTTCCTGGTCTACATTGACGATGACCAAGAAACATGGCAGATCACTTTAGTCTCTCGACGACATTAAGAATGGTCATAAATTGCTACAAGATGAACTCCAAAGCACAATGTTGCCCTTTCAAGAAGACTTCGATTCACTTGAGAAATATTGCGACACATGGATGATAAGTTTCTTGGCTAGTAAATCAAGCATCATGTCCTAAGTGTGTTAGATCCATAAACAGTCAAAATGGACATTGTAGGTATGTGTATGAAACTGTATAACTGTGATCTAGAAGTAAGATAGTATCCAATCATCAGCTTCTCAGAGCAGGCCAAACGACCTATGGCTATCACATTATATAAATTCTATAAAGCCCCACCAAAATCAAGCTTTTCATAATACTCACCCTTCTCATCCCTGAATACTGCTGCATTATTTAGGGAAACATGCGTATGAGCGGCAGAGGAACTCTGCATCACTGCAAAGATAATTCACTCAACATTCGTTTAGTAAATTGTGTATCTTGAGCTAACTGGAGCGCTACTAGCAGGTTAACGTCGGACTTGTTTTGTTGCGACAACTGAAACAACTTGATGCTCATACATAATCTCATAAAGCGAAAGAGATAGTCCAGTCTCCTTAGACTAGAAGTGTGATACAAGTTCACTCAGTGGCTTGGCGACAAGACTTGTAAATCATTGGTGTCAAGCACTAGGACAGCTTTTGATCCGACTTCCTCCTCGTCAAATACGCTGTCCTGTGGAATAGCCTACCAGTAACTATCAGGTATTGTACCAATGCAAAAAACATTCCGCATAATACTTGGGAATTCCCTGGACAGGATTCGATAATGACCATGATATCCCCGTGAAAATCTGCAAATGGGTTTTTCCAAACTGGATCAAGGAACAAATAGTCAGTGGGAAAAGCTGTTACACAAAACGAAGCACCAACAGAAGGGACGCATTTTGGAATGCCATGATGACACGAACACTCAAGAATACCTATCTTATCCATACATGAGCATGATAATTAGGTAGTAATGACTAGTTCATATACCAGGAACATCCTCTAGTAACTAGTCCACGGATAGGTAACCTACACACAACCTTGTCTGGGGGACGAAAGTTCTCCACTCTTTCAACTAGATCTTCATGAATCAGCTAAGGAAGTTGCAACTATCAATACACACGTGGAATTATTCTGTTACAATCGGTTACCGTTCGGAATACACTCTGCGCTAGCAATCTTTCAGAGGAATACAGACAACATAGTGTACATGAAGTGTGCGATTACCTAGATGACATGTTGAATACTGGGCGTACAGATTAGGAACATATATGGAGGCACTTACAACGGTCCTGAAACGCGTTCAAGAGAGAGTGGACTTAACCTCCAAGAATCCAGCTGTTTTTGCGGTAGTGTTGAACTCCGGGTTTTTGCATAGACAAACTCGCGTTGTATCTACTACGGGAAAGTTTCAAATCATCTGGATTTCCCGACATCCTATGATATTAGGTAACCACAGTAATTTATTAGGATGGTAACCCAATACACCTGTTTTTACCAACTTTGGCTGCTATTCTCGAGCCGCTTTATACTATGTTTCGGAAGTATACCAGATAGTTGTGGGCAGGTGAGCAACAAAATGTGTACGATGCTGTCAGGTTGGCTACAAGGAACGCTATTTTCTAATTGCACACATTGCCCTCAAAGAGATCAATCACTCTGCGATGTGGAATGCCAACCACAGGCGCGGTGCCGCGCTGTCTCACAAAATATAAGACATGAACGAGCGTTCAGGATCATGGCGACAGCAGAAAGAAACAACACATCGATGGAAAAATGAGGTTTCGGCGTTCATCGTTGACGTCGAGAAATCTAACCAGTATCTAGGAGGAAGAACATAAAAAATGATTATGCGCTGAAAAATCCATTAATCTGGAATAGTAGGAGGAAAAACACCAACCAGATGGCGTCTCCTTGTATGAAACAGACCTTATTGCTCTTTCTGATATATTTATATATATATATATAACATGTGGTACAGATATTGTGCTATCAAAATCACGACAGCATAAGCAAACAAGATAGGAATAAAAACATGCACCTATTGTCCACGTTTTTACTTACAGATTTTGAGTTCGTAATTGTTGGTTTTGTTAGGGAATGGAAGGGAAATTACCGCAACACGCAGAGATACATGTTTGCCATTGACGTTGGTCATGAGCCATGACTTCCAGGGTCTCTAACCAGCGATACTCTGTGTCTCTGAAGTCCCAATAAGGGAGTCGAGAACAATCGACCGAGTCCAACTGTTTCGTCAGCATTTTAATCCCACTTCTCTAAGTCATAAGTTGTCTACAGTTCCGCTTCCTCTAGCCCTTCATAGCAACCGGGAAAAACCCCTGCTGCAGAGCCGATGAGCGGGTATGCGCAATACGTGTTTAAGCCACCACAGCTGACACAGTGGGATGAGATCCCCAAGCGAGTGACTGCCTCCACCCAAGACACGCTGTCTAACTTCCACATTGGTCATGTGGTGCAGCCACCAAACACGGGCAATAGACCGCAAGGAACGGCGCCCGAAGACAGCAGACGGTGCAGGTCGAGAGCTCGAACAGGCCAAATATCGCAAGTGTAGAACGGTAGAGCGCAGACAGTTGTATAATAAACCCGCCCTTTGAAGGATAGACGGAAGTCATGGCGGCGCCACAAGTGCATCAGTCTAAAGAAAGCGAGCCTTTGAGAGACGCATCGAAATCTCCTCTCCAACACCTCAGTCGGTAGTCATGCAGCCTACAATGCTTGCAATTACAGTAGCTACGTTCCTTGGAAAGCAAATAGAGACGCGGACGCTTTTAGCTACTTGACATTGAATCACTTACCAGATAGTGGAACTTGTCCACTTGCAGCGTTTGTGCGGAAGTACGGTGTTAAATGCAGGGAACTGAACGAGACAAATAACTGGCTAAAGTCAAGCGCCCAGTCTCTCAAGGAAGGCCCGGCAGATGCGAACCGCAACCACTGTCGTACTTTACTCGACGCACACAGCTCAGTCTCGAGGATGGCTGTCCGCCAGAGTGGTTAAAACACCAAGGTGGCGATAGCTCATCAAACAGAGACTATATGAAACGCACCCAGTGATCACGAGGATGAAGGGACTGGCACCATAATGTGTAGAGGCCTAATAGTGACAAAGACATCGGAGGTAGTTTGACACTGCACCAAGAATAACGCCCCACCAGTACTCCACAGTTAAAGGAAAAAGCGAACACAGCAACTACCCGGCATAATTTACCTTCTAACCTCCGTAATAAAAGTTGCCCAGATCAGTTCGTATCGCACCTCACATAGGATATACTTATTAGACCGACTATTATTGCGCAGCAATGCTGCCAATCGTACATGCTAAAAATAGCCACCGTTGTTGCTTGTTAGACTGAACTAGAAAGGATATGGATGGGCAATGGCTTGAACAACACTTCTAGTACAAAGTAGCGAAATGGGAGAACGTTATTATTCTTGGTGTTTTGGTACTGTAGACCAAGTAAAGGTCTATCAGATCCTTCTGATTCATTCGGGAAAGTCTCGCCAACTCTGGTGTTCATGTCTAACAGTAATTGTATACTTTTGGTTCAGCCATGACCGCGCACAAGAGTTCGGTTTCTTCAGAGAACAGAGTGATCAAAGGAAAAACAGGATGGTATAAAAGCCCATCCGGCCACGTAGCATTTTTCCAACCTAAGGTCGCCGCGTCGAACTCATGTGACGTCGTTGTCCAATGCAGTTACCTAACGCACAACACTCCAGTTCCCTTCACTTTCAGATGTTGCAATCAAAATTGAGTCTTAACAAAATACATCTGAGAATGATAAAAGTTATGGAGAATGCAGCGACGATCATTCTTATCTACCTCCAAAATGGTATGCAACAATACTATAGATTTAACGAGGCATGCAGTGTGATCCTAGAATAGAGGGAAATATGCGCACGTTGAAACTATTTCAGTGCACGAAGGATTGATGACCATAAACAGGGTTACCTTCATCTCCATGGTGCCTCTTTTGGTCATAAGAAATGAACCGAAGGTGCGCAATACGTTGAATGTGGCCTCGCTGATGTGAATCTTCAGGGCTGTAAGAAACGTGCGTGGGGATTAGTCTAGCGACCAGAGAAAGTGAAAAGAGGTGAACAACAGGAACTGGTGCTTACAAAGTCAGTGAGTGTTGATGAAAGAAATATGCACCGAGTTCCCATTACAAACCATCTCTTTAGAGTGGGTTTGGAGTACAAGAGCAAGGTGGCGCACTGATTTCAGTTAATCCATAGATGCAACCCATAGTGCTTTCACACTATGTTGGACAAAAAGGAAGGAAGCTGTCCACAAGAATATATGAACACCAAAGGGCGTGCAAGAAAGATTACGCAAGCTTCTTAGTTTCAGCACACATGGATGAAGAGAGACACAGCTTCGACTGGAACAATGTAGAGATCTTGTCCGAAAGAGAAACACAAAAAGGGAGGGAGTTTCTCGAAGCCTGGTTCTCAACAACGGACTCAAGCAACATGCATATCGACATCGATTCAATATACCAACCGCTGAGACAAAGAGAGCTCAAGAGGATTAACAACTGTTGTTCGAAAGAACCTAATCCAACATCCAGATACTGAACAGAATGATCAGTGTGAGCCCAGGCTGCTCATCCACACCTGCTGCACCAATCCGAATGCGATATTTCTAACCATGTCGCGACAACATTTGCGCAGCCAATGGCAGTGACTTGAGCCGGACCGCAGAACACAATGATTCGCCAATCAGAACGAGGCAAAGTAATAGTCAGTATGTCCATATAAGGAACAGAGTGGTTGTTGACAGTATCCAGTATTGAGTTTGCTTCTACCAGCTCCTGCTATCTGACTGATATCAATCCTGCATTGAAGATGCCACCTCGAATGGTGGTGAAACGTTTGCAATCAAGTTGCCTAGCTCGGAGAACTCCACATCAGCTGAACAAGCCTCCCAAATCATTTAGCCCACGTTTGTCATCAACCGAACATCATGGACGAAGTTGGAGACTACGCCCTGCAAGCAGTCACTTAAGAACGTGGCCTAGGATCGTGCATAACAACCTCGGAAAGCGTTAAAGACTGGGAAGCAACACGTCGTTGTCGTACGGAGGGCATTCTGCTTGGTTGATTCAGTAGTCTGCCCAAAGATGCTTAACATATATGTGCGTCCTCGATTTCGATAGGTAATCTAGGCCTGGCAACCCTGGCAGAAGAAAAGTCTGGTGGCGCTAAAGACCGTAGGGCCACCAAGCAAATCAAAGGATTGTTCCATTTTTTAATCAACTTAGGCTGGTGACCATAAGGCTGTACGGCGGTCAGTATCAGCGCCTATGTGGTCACCTAATGAAGACCTAACAGAATCTGAAGAACCCCAAGCACGCCTGCTGCCACCTACCGCAACTCAGTCACAACACGAATTTGAGAGGCCACCAACTCAATTCGACCACGCAGGAACATTTTCTCTCTCCTTGTGTGCCAGCCGCAAAACGCACCACCCCAAATTACGTTTGCTCCGCCCCCACATTATCTATGTTTAAATCATCCTTCGACATTGTCCTAACACACCCACATCACGAAATATAGCCCATTTAAAGCGAACAGAAGGGATCGATCGACTGAATCCGACTCACTCTTGTGGTCCAGGAACACAGCCGTTGTCGGCCTGCGGTACGGCTGTTGCTATTCTAGCGCCTATCACAGAGTGAACATATAGTCCATACAGTCCCGTCCTGAATGGGAATGTGATTACTCTTTCTTAATCCGGGTTTCCCATGCCACAATCAGGCAACGGATGGAAATTGAAGTCCGTACTTTTGTTACCACCGGCGTGTAGGCTAATGTCCTGTGGTTATCCTAGTCGGTGTGACTGCTCTACTTGTGCACTGTCACTATGACCCTGCTTTGCCACCAATGCACTGATAGGGAGCGACGAGCAAGTGGACGGATTGTAACGGTGTGGCATTCACGTTTTTCTTATTCACTCTTGGGGCTTGTTTCCCCACACGGTGTCTCAAAGCGCATCGGGACAATCAAGTAACACAGTTGGCTGACTGTCTAACTATATAAAACGACCTACCGACGAATGATACTCTTCTAAACGGAAAGACGATCCAACTTTTGGTTGATTCTGACGTGTGTTTCTTGGTCTTGGTGACCATTTCCCCACCCAGTGCAACGGTTGCGCTACTGTTTCGATATCGTCTCATGTTCTGTGTCACTGTTACATACCACTATTATCGCGAGCTTACTGTATTGGTTAATTGGCGCTCTATTTACAGAGTTCGGTTTCTTTCTGGACAGGCTTCATATCCTGCATTCGTGCAGAGCGGAACTTCTTGCGGATTGATGACATTAGCTCCATCAAGACGGGCCGATTGCCATCGGGGGCGGTGCGGCCGGGTGAACAAAGGGCAAGTTCAATGAGCAGCGGAGGCGGGATAGACTGGTGATGCGGAACATGCTATTCCAGCGTAATGGCAGACAGATAGCTGAGAACGGCTAAAATTCTACGGCACTTAGGGTTGTGAAACGTGCCACATGCGTGCGTCTTATTCGTTGGATATGAGGGTACCTAATCCTACAATTAGGTTGGGTAATTCAGTCTAATGACACACTGGAATCACACTGATATTTGCTTACAAATTTAGATGAATCAGTACACTCAGGCATTGGTCTTCATTATCGGAAATGGACAAATAGAAAAGCGGATGTGGTGAACAGCAACACGTCTTCAGTAACACGTAACGTAACAAAGCCTTCTAACTTACGCAACCCGTTGCTTTCCATTCGTGATGAGGTGTTCACTGTGTCCCCAAACAGGCAATATCGTGGCATTCGTTGACCTACGACGCCTGCACAAACGGGACCTGTAAAGCACAAGCGGAGAGATTGGCTTGTCAGACAAGCAAAACATAACATCTGCTGATCCGAGAAGGTCTCATCACTGTGGTGTCAAGTATTTCGGGATAAGAAAATGAGCTAGTGCTGACTAACAGAATAACACGTTGAGAAACAGTATAATAGCTGAGAATAAAACCGGCTGTATCTCGACCTTTTCTCAAGGAGATCCGGTACTGCAATCTAACGTCCGCAAAGCTCAGCAACAGCATGGAAACACTAAGAACACATAAGGCCCGAGATGTGCTCAGCATTGAGGATGACGCAGTTTGGCGAGTAGTCATAGTAACAAGCAGGAAATATAAGTGCCTAGGTACACATGTGATGTCCGTCGCTGTGACAGCAGGAGAAGCATCGAGGTAATGTGGAATTTACGATAGTAACTTAGATTGTGCGTGCTAATACAAACAGGCACAGTTGTGGTGAGTCAACATCAGACACTACTGTGCCAATATTCAGTGTCATAAGCGTAGCAGGAACACTGGAATACAGCGGGCCAACAGCCAGCTAACAGCGGACCATACCAACGTTCAAGCAGAAGAAGAACGCTTAGAAATCGCAGATATGAACACTAAAACTGGATACAGAAGCGGTGTGCGCCACGCAGCATCCAGAAGAATGTCCACAGGCTGGTGGGAATTTCGGTGGTCAGTACTGATGCATATAGTTGCTGGTATCAGCCACAGTAAATAACAGTTCACACCATAGATCCTTACGGATGAAAACCAGCCAGACTCTAGTAGCAGAATTTTGGTATACGGCATTCGGCGGAAGACTTCATTTTCATAATTGGCTAAGTACGTAATGGAGTCCGCTTTTGCTCCCTTCTATACATCAGTCTGCCGACTTCAAGTCCCCATCAGCCTGCAACTATTTGACGGAATTTCTCCCATTTTTCGCCTGTTGGAGAGGTACAAGAGTTAATACTATGTCGGGAAAAGTTCCCAGAGCACTTGTAGGTGGCAAAGCAACACCCAGTTGTTTCACCTGATCCAGTGTCAAGTATGCTTGCTGACTTGTTATCCAAGACATGTGACGCAGCTCGAAATCAAAACATCGTACATCGATGGATTTCTCTCTGTTCTCTCTATGCACTAAAGCCTATAACCACCCTAATGCAATGATGATGAATCCCAAAAGAAGGGTCCGATGCCCGAAAGTGCACTCATGGACTGAATCGCTGCAGAACTAGTAAGCAGTATGGGATGACGCAGTGGTCGTTAATGTGTCTGACAATATTCGGCTCGTTACCTTCATAGATTAGGTAAGAAGTGGAAATATGGTTAGCACAGAGTGCGGTTGCATAAAGCTTAAGAAGGAAGTCCAGCGACACACATGCCCAATCTTATTGAATTTAGAGAGGCATTAAAAGGCAGTGAGTTTATAAAATAACGTGATCATATTGTTGCCAACACCAGCTTCAAGACTTTGAAACTTGTTGCTGATAGAAAACCTTCAGAAACAGCAATTTGCATAGAAAGTCAGACGCTTGTCCAAGAGATGAGGTAATATCCTCCAGTGATTCCGTCACTATAACAGTTATCGATAGAAGCAATTTGCCAATAACTGATAGTTCTCACGGACTAAGCGACAACCACACATCTGACACTCTTACTGCAGTGTCAAGTGCAAACGAAGCCACCACTATCCATCCGAAACTCAAACAATCATTAGGGATCCAGCTGCTACCCTACAACTTCCGATTACAGAAAGTAGCGCAGCAGCCATCAGAGAACATGTGAAACCTCAAGCAGAGGAGTTATGTAAGGCAGTTGTTACTGAACACCAATATTCATGAGGTTGACCAAAGAAAATCGGTGACACACGTTCGTGAATCGCCCGTGAGTTCACTACCACGGGTTGTTTTTTTTATAAATGATTACTTTCGTACTCTATCTGTTCTGTAGTTCCGAAACAAGCAACATACCGGGTAGAGTGATCTCAACATCGGTAATCGCACAGCGCAGCCACCTTTCGGTAATCATTATCAGACATCGAGGCTCTGAGGTCTGACGACGACGGAACTCGTCCAACTCACTTTAATAAGGCATTTGCGTTAGTGTATACGCAGGACAATTTACCGCGAACAAGCTAACTAACCAACTGTTTTACGCGATTTCGCTGTATACATTGAGCAGTACAACCAATTGGGCTGTATATCCTACTGTCGAGCAATACTTACTTAATTGTCATTAATGCGTTAGGTTCATTCCTCATATTGCTAACGAGTATAGAGTATCATAGCACGATTCCCAATGGGTTTAGACAGTTGATGGGTAGACACAACACCGTCATTCCACACGTTAGCTAGATGTGAGAAACACCTTGACTATTGGGAGACAACTTTTTCGATAAATTTCGCTGGGCAATTGCAATGAGATTACATTGAGATGTTTAATCACTGGAATAGGAGAGATTACTACTCACGTCCCTCAAGTACTACATGGATGAGACGTTCATTGTTTGTGAATCACGTATTTGTCATTTCGGCCTGATAAAGCAATTTAAAATTGCTCAACCGTCGTTAAAATTCACCTGTGAAATTGAAAAGGATGGTAAACTGCTCTTCTTGGATGTCTTACTGCGATGACGACAGGATGGGTCGCTTGGATAAAAATTCTTCCCGAAAACGACCTGAGTGGGTCAGTACATGTATTTCCTCAATTTTGTGCCGATGTAGTACAAGTGAAACACAGTGCGTTGCTTGTACAACCGGGCTACATGGATTTGCAGCCCAGATGCTGGAAGCGAAAAAGGATTTCATATTCAAGACACTGGAAAGTAACGGGTGCCAAACTGCTTTCACCAAAAAGCATTCCTTGATCCGGAATGAGTCAGAAGCAAAAATGACCATGAAAGAAGGACGTTTCGCACTCAGAACATGTCAAAGGAGACATCCAACTCGAGATCATAAGTCTTAAAATGGTTACTGCGCTAGACTAAGCGTACCTTGCCGCTAGAGTCCAGATTCTTGTCGAAAGCGCGCCACTTATCACCCAACGTTTAAAAGACAATTCCGGCCCAATCCGAAGCATGTGTTCTACATCAATTCAACTGCACCAGTAGTGGGATGTACCTCAGAAACACGACCAGACATCTGTTAAAGCGAACACTGGAACATTGCTCAGCTTCATTACAACTTAGTAAGACTAGAAATGTTGACAGCTCCATCTTGGAACCCTAACAAGTATTGGACGGCAAATAACAACGAAAGATACCTTCCAAATAGTGTAGGGTGCATCAGAACACAACCCGAAAGGACTCAGAAAGCGCCTACTGCTCATGGCAGAAGCAACTACGATCAGGCGGCTAAAGCCGGAACTGTTTAAACGGTGTGCACTTGTGCAACGTTTAATCCTACCATGACCATAGCCTGATCAGCTGACTTCAGGCTGAGTGGTCAATAGCAATGGGTTTAAATTGACATCGATTGCCACCCATGCTTCAGTCGAAGCATACACGACAAATCTCCGTATCGTTAGTAATAGATCCTATTCCAGTGATTATGTACGATTATAATTGGTTGATTACATTTATCGAAAACAAATTTCTTCGCAACTGAACTGGCATAATTTATGAGAGTGGCTATTGTTCGCAGATGGGTAAGTTACTGCCGTATTAATCCACGCAGGCCAAGTCGCAAGAATTTGCCGATGTACTTGATTTTCGACATCAGCAAATAAATCCCGGCTGCAATGCGTTTGTCGGAGTGTGCTGCAGAGAAGTATGAAAAAATTTAATGATGCAGTCTCGGGCGGATAAAAGAGGAACAACCAAAAGTTAGAAGTGAGACTTTAGTAGCGGTTTAATTTCGCTTGACCGCTATCTTGAATACAGCGAGTAGGGGCAGAGCGATGTTCGTGAAAGATATTGGTCAGTTTTGTGGTGAGGGTCACGTTTGTAAGTGGGCTGGAATAATGTCTAGTTGCTCAAACATATGCAGATGAACGATTGGGCTCCTTGACCATGGTCTTTGATCCAAGCTTTGGGCAGAAGACAGCGAGGATACCGTAACAGTTCAAAAGTTGCACCTACTTATGAAGATAATCATCATCTTACGTCTAACCCCCAATCTGAGATGTGATAAAAGGTCGTGGCCAAGACCTTAGAGAAAATAACGCTAAAATGTTGGTAGGTATTGACGTCTATTCGATGAGAGATAAAGCAGAGATCTATCAATGCACGTAAGCGACTCACCGGAATGAATGCCAATTCGAAGCTCCAGACGCTGATGAGGTCTGTGGGGTATTTGAAACTCGAAGATCGACTTGAGAAATGCAATAGACATTCGAGCCAATTCACGCGCATGTTCATTTCCTATGCGTTTGGGTAGCCCTGAGGCAACCATGTATGCGTCCCCAATGGTCTCCACTTTGTACACACGAAAGTTACCAATGATGTCGTCGAACAGTGTGTATAAGGCGTTGAGTAGATTGACCACCTATTTGGAGCAGTGTTGATCAGCATGCGTGATACAAGTCAGTCGGATTAGAGAATACACAAACCAGAAATATGAACTATGGCATCTCAAAAGCCACCCGAGGCTAAGACGAAGCAAACAGATATTACGGTTTCGCACTTATACCATGGTTCCAATTTAATTAGGCAACGTGGAGACGCACAATTTAATAACTAAAATGATATTAAGGCAAATGCATAAGTTTGAATAAGGCATTCGTTGCGCCGCAAACCCAAAGGAAATGCACAAGCTGATGGCGAAACCAACGCGGAATGTGGAGAATATGTGACATAACGGTTGTAGACCAAGGAAGAAAACAATTAGGTCGTTTTGCAAGTTGATCCAGCTAAAAAAAAGCTTGGGCACGATGTTAGGTGTGCTCAGTTTCACTTCCTATTATTGCATGGTAGAGAGATGGTGGAAACAATCGCTTCTGTTTTGCTCAAATGTATGAAGGAGGCACCAAATTCAGGAGTATGTCTCTGAAAAAGAGCAATCAAGGTATCCAGTGAGTGCGTTAAAAATGAGCGGATAAACATTGTATTGTTGTTGCTACAAATGTCCACAATTCTGGGTACAGTACAACGGCGGAATATGGCAGGAACAGTTCGTTGTAGTCTACTGGATTCCCAGTACACCCTGGGTGAAGGGCAAATATCCTGGGCTGTGTCCAGCTGCAACCAACTAGTGAGTCGAGCTGAATAGTCTTGATTCCATTGCTGCGTTCATGATAAATTCACAGTGCAAAATGTGAAAGTGAACAGGAAGGAAAGAGGCGCTTGTCCCATTGTCTTGGTGCAGACAGAACCCCGTGTGATAGAAGGATGGCAATACAATAAGAGAGAGCACGGCATGGAGCTGATGGAGAAACCGGATGTCCAACGTTTAGAAGTGTGTACGTAGGGTACCGCTACCTTTTGCTTCGAGTCCATCAGGTGGAGAATTGAAAAGTAGCGTTTTAATTCGGTTGCGAGGGAGGAAGCAGAAAAATGGAAACAATGAATCAACTATGAATCCAGGCCTCTCGGTGTATTGTCACTATGGTGAAATCCATGTAAAGTAGCAAACTGGAAGGAGTCGCATGACCCAGCCTCAGAGGGGTATATATGGTAAAGACGTGCCCTTCGCTCGCTCTTCCAAGTATCGGAGATGCACGCGAACATAAACGATTGTGTGAAAGGATTGGACTGAGTGAAGATGTCTGAAGTGGTCACTAGTGGTGTTTTACTGCTACCCAAAATGTTGGGTATCAATGTTTTTCCACAGCGGAACTTTCAACAGCTGTGTCATGGGACTCCAAGATAGAAAGTGGCGAAAGTGTATTTGCCATACCCTCAAGCAATCGATTGCCCTGAAATACTTGCATATGGGGTCTGAGTTTGTCACAAGCACACCATGGAAACGCCGTTAAATGCGACGAGCGGGGGGACTGCCCACGTCCCCACATGCCTCAGTGGGGATAAAGTTATGATCGCTCGGCAAAGATGGCATCGGTGTCGTGAGCAGAGTGCTGGTGTTGGCAGTCCCTTTTGCCTACACTTGAGCGCTCTCTTCAAGTGGTAACACCGATACACTCAAACGCGATTACGAGGTCCTTCAAATAAAAAGATATCAATTGGGAAGATAATCACGATGAATGGGATGTGGGCAGAAGTTCAATCGAGTTACAGGTTAAAGCGTCACTCCAATTAGTGTATGGGACGTTCACAAGTGGTCCGCGTTACAATGTCACACACGTAAGCCCCGTTGACGATAGCTGCGGAGATTATGTGAAGTGCATTCTCTGCGCTGGATCCCTCGACCGGCGCTCCTCAAACTGGTCGTGTTAAGACAGCCCGCCACACGTTCGAATGATCTGCCCCGTCCATTCTGTTCAGGCAACTGTTCCCCTTGATAATCTCAACCGCCTCAGCAGTTGATCGTAACCCCCTCCTAAGGATTTCGACGTTATCCAAGTCGATCTCATGAACTGTATCTATGGAGTGCATCGATATTGTCGTATCTCTTAGTAGAGCTTGAGAACATGTGACGGGCTGTTTTAACTCGACCAGGTTGAGGAGCGCGGGTCGACGGAGCCAGGGCAGAGGATAAACTTCAGATAATCCCCGCACCTGTCATCAACGGGGCTTACGTGTGTGACCTTGAAACGCGGACCACTTGTGACCGTCCCATGCACTAACTGGAGTGACGCTTTGGCCTGTAACGCAAGTGAACTTCTGCCTACATCCCATTCATCGAGATTATCTTCCCAGTTCGCTGTAGGTGCCATACCAATCCTCGAAGTTTTTGTGTTAAAAGCGGAACTTTGCACACCAACTATACTAACCGGTTGTTTTCAAACCCTTTCCGAAATGATGAGTTCTCGATCGATTTCAAGCACTTTTCAAGATGTCGAGCTACATATATTTCCATTTAATACAAACAGAAGAAAATGAATGACTCTATTGAAAGGCTTTGGAAAGAGTGTAGGCGAGGTATGTATCCTGCAGAAACCAGCAAACAACTCAATTTGGTCAAAAGCAAATTTCAGCACATTTACGACGAAAGTTGCGATAGTTAGATACATAGATACATAGATTAACGCAGTCAACAGCATGTGACGCTCAGCTGAGTGCGAATTTTTGCGAACAGTGTTTATTAGCAGCTCAATAGAAGCGCCAAGACGGAAGAACTGCCGGACAACTACAATAACGCTCGAGTGGAAGGAGATTGGTGGATCGCGTGGATATGAAAAGCGCAGACAAATCAACAAAATTCAGGGTCAATGTTATGGTTGTAGAAGGTGCTCGCTTGTTTTTCATCGGCCGGTGTTGCGCGTACAAATAGAACAGAGTATGTAGATATTAACATCAACACTCAGGAACAAGAGAAAATGCTTATTGTAAAATGCGACACGTTGCACGGACAAAAATAATCCTCATCAGCTGTCTGGAGACAGCAATGAAAACTCACGGAACTCCTGATTCGCTACATAGCCAGTAGTTCGAAGAAAATACAAAGCTGCAGCGCAGTTCATGCGACAAAATGTCAACATGATTAGTCCGATTGGTAGAGCAACATGCGCATAACCAGGCAGTTAGTGCTCGGTGCAGTGAAGTCAAGTGTGGTGTACAACGAAGAAGAAGAAGAAGGAGGAATGAAGTCCCTCACTTCGGAGCTAGCCTTGGTTGGAGCTTCACGGCTCCCTGGTTGGGGTCCAAAAGACGGTGAACACGTTTGGCTGGATACACTTGCTGACATGGCAAGGAGCCGACCTCAGTGGCGTTCATGCTGTGAGTTTCTTTGTCCCTCCCCATCGCTTTTAGTCTCCCCCTCCACCCACGATCTCATTTCTTAGCGTAAAACATAATATTTTTTCCTCTTTTTTACCTAGTAGCTGGCTGGTAGCTTACACGAACGATGCCTATCCGTTACTGGTAGCTCAGCTGGCATGCAACTGTCGTATTTATTTTTCCTTTATGTATTGTATTTATGAATGTATTTCCTTTATGTATTGCGGTACAATAGCGGACGTGTTTCCCCACCTCTAGCTGACATGTATAATGATGATGATGATGACAACGAAGGATACAAGACAAACCCTCGGCGATGCGTAGCAGTATGTTCGCTTGCCCGTGGAATTCGTGGTATGGCAGCTGTATGGATAGGAGCGCATGTCGAATTCTGCGATTTAGGCTCATAGCACACTATCTCACACGAACTCCACGGAAAACAAACAGGAATGGAACGTGGAGTCCAGTGGTTATTGATACGGTTATTGGTCATGCCATATCCATTCACTGCTATTCAGCCGGAAAGGCTGCTTCGTAGGAGCGCGTGTACCTGTGTGCGTACGTATTGGTATGCTAACCAAGCAGTGTCCGCCTCGAACTGGGACTCGTTCTCGTATTCATGGGACTCGCGTGGCAGACAGTTTTACGTGTTCACATGTGCTGAGTAGAGTGTACGACTTCACGCTTCCTACTAAAATTTTCCTACTACCATGCCGCTGTTCTGATTTCACTTGGGTGTAACAGTTTTATAACTGTAATTCTAACTTGTAAATTTAAAAGAATGCACGGATCTTTGTTTAGAGGAGGTTGTCACCGATGGCAAACTGGTCCGATTCATGGTTGATCTTGCACAGACTGCTCAACAGAAGAGTGAAGGCTTCGGTGCGAAGAGGCCGCTTGATCTCCGTAAGCGGTAGTCAGGTTTACAGTGCGGAAATGGTAGCCACCGTTTGGGGTCGCAGAATGCAGTTAGAGAAACGAAACGGATTGACTGGGTGACAACAGGAACAGAGCATACACTATCATGTGTGTGGTCACAGAGAGATGACTCTGCAGTGTGTCGACTAATACCTAAGCAAAGCAAGAGTAATCCTGAACGGAATTATTCTTTTGCCAAAATTGCTCTCGCTGTGTTACACCTACGGGAAGTATTTCATACTCTGATGCCGAGTGACCTGTTCAGCTTGACTGATGCATTTGCACAGTCGTAGCGTACATCGCAATGAATCAAAGCACACAGTGATGCGTGATGGAATAATGAGATGGGACTGTTAGTGCACTGAAGAAGAAAGCGTTCATCTTAAAAGGTATCATTGTTCCATACCAGGTAGAATGTGTGGGTTAAGCGAAACGTTCGACTCACCTCCATCGGGGTAGAATTGGCGGACAAAGCAGTGAAACCCACGATATCGCTAAAGTAGATGGTGACCATTTCGAAACTTTCCGCTTCCACTGTCTTTTTCTTGATTAGCTGGCTGGCAACTGACCTATGGGTTAGAAAAGATGAGAAACAAAAATTTACGGGTGGAGCACAGACTGGTCGGACATTTAGAAGCACTCGTGGTGTGAATGGATTGTAACGCGATTCGCATTGGGGTGAACATTGGTCGATTCGATCACTGGGACCGTTACCGACGAAGCAGATGATTAATGGATGTAGTCCGTCCGGAAACACAGCACTCTACGACCATGGCACATAGTACAACTATCTCCGCCAATGAGAACAAGCATAGGCTGCATGAGAACAGCCTCACCATTTCCTTACGACAGTGTTCAGCGTAGATTGGACATGCAACATAATATGTAAGCCAAAGAATAATCAGATTTAAACTATAGATGAGACCTGGTTTGACTTGGACTAGACCACGCATGCGATTCCGAGTTTTCCTGCACTGGCATGTGACAGAAGGATACCGACATAAAACGTTGCAGTAGGCAGTTTGTCGTCTTGGTAAGTGCGAACAGATAACAAATTATTAGCAGAATCGGCATTGGGACATTCGTGGCGAAGTGATATCATTCCGGCTGTCCCGCTAATCTGGACATCAAGGATCGCAATATGTGAACGCTTCTTTGGGATCACAGTCGATGAAACAAGCACAACCCTGCTCATCTGAGCGGCATCTTCAAGCGATGGTGAAAGTCGGATCATGGGACTCTCATCAACATAGCGGGATAGGAAAGAAACAATACGATTGGTTCTACTTAGTGCGTAATTGTCAGATGTATGGTGAAGCTCCAGTCAAATACTCAATGGAAAGCTACTAGAGGGGCTGGAGAATGCAAAAAAGGTAGCGGATATGGTTCTAAGTGGTCGTGACAGACAACCATACGGAATAAAGTGAGTAGGATTCAGTTCACATAAGGGTGAGAGGAAAAATATACACCTTACTTGACCACGACGGGTGACATTGGCTTTGGGGGGGGGGATGCGCTAGAGCAGCACCCAAACCCTCTACAACACAAAGCCAACCAATGCATCTGAATGATGCGGCTGAGTCAGGCCAGCTGCAAAGCACACGTACGAAGGTGGAATGAGCTCAGGTACCATGATTTGTGAGCGTCAATCAACCTTTAATGTTCCAAATTCCCAGATGTAAATCTTTCTAGTACGCACTAAGTGTCGCACAAATAACTTCACAATGAGGAAGCTCAGTGATGGGACGAAAGCTATAAATGGCACAGAAGGAAAAAGTGTTGTAATTTATTGTAAGGATACTGTACGGAGGGGAGGTTAAGTAGTTTAGCCAATTACTTGGACCGATGAAAATTAGCCGACTGACGATGTCGTGGGACCAACCAAATAAAAAAGAGCAACATTTAGACTAGTAGGGGGAGCTGAAGGGTATATGTAGAAATTCATCACATCTAGACTCACTCAGACAGCCGCCACAAGCCCGGAAAAGCACTGTACGCGCGTTTCATTCTTTCGGGAATCATCAGCAGTGCGCATTCCATCGGACTCTGGTAGGGCTCGAACCCGCAACTCAACTGTTGCCAGTCCGTGGTTGAGACCACTGAGCTACGGGAGGACGGCAACGACCATCGTGAATAAGTTATAGATGTGATATAACGCCGCTCACTATCCACTGACTTACATGTTACTGCCGTGCAGAGGACAGGGTAGCCCCCCACCAAGCGACGAGCTTACCAAACTTAGGCCGCCAACTAGCTTATGGCATTATAAGCAGTTTGGTCTGCGTACTGATTACAGAAGAGTAGTAGGGAGAGTTTAATGGTATCGGTAGGAATTCGTCACAGATAGAGAATATATTAACTCAGCCTCAACATCCACCTACCTGACAGTTAAGCTCCCACACGCCATTACCCAAAATAACAGCTACGATAGGAGTAACGAAGATGGGCTGAGACCAGCGTGCACGACTTTTCAGCCATAGTACCAATACCCAAATTAAGACGATCAGTTTCTGGTCAGTAAAATAGTGACCCGCAAAAGCTCAACCGCCGCTGACAATGGTCCCGAGCATAACAACATCGAAACCGTAAAGAAGTTATGCCGCATCATCCAAGGCCACCTGCGACCGACTCTGAGCAAACTCTCAAAGGACCCTGCGGTCGCACGCCCCAAGTGGACATAATCCTTGATGTCTTGTGCATCAAATGCTTGAGTCAATAATTTGAGTGTAATAATTTCGAGGAAAGCTCTTCTCGAAAATGCAGCGGAAAAGAAACCCCTGCTCACAAAATCACACCGCCGGACACTAACGATCCTATTCACCTATCTCACTCTGTCGCAAATCGCTTTGTCACAAGGTTAACCAGCGAAACGACTGCAGCCGAATTCACTATCATTGTTAACGGTGTACGCAAATCGCTTACCAAAACAATGCTCCAAAGTCACATGGCGACTTTCAAAGTTCACACCCCACATCAGAAACCCAAACAAGTAGCACCGCCCATCACTTTACACACGTTCTCGATGAAGATCTCGTACCGTCGCGACACGAGTAAAAAGCTGCTACGAATCGACCAATTTGCATTATCTAGCTCAGGGTCCAGTGACGATGATTACATGCATAGCACCTCTGCTGATTCCGGGTCGAAGGCCAAAGGTATCCTCGGTGTCTGTATCGCAATCAAACACAAATCAGAGAACATTCTACATGGTTGGATCTGAATGAATTGCCGGATGTGCGCCGTTGAATCAAGCAATCAATCAAGAAACAGCAGTACATCAGACATTTGAACTGATGCTTCGCTGCCATACAACCATAATGACCTATGGAATAATGAATAAGAGGGAGACTATAGATCTCACCGGAAAACATTAATGCCCTAAGCAAACACTAAGAGTCAAGACGCCTACACTTTGTGTTAACAACCTACAGTCAAAAACATCTGGTTATCGTGAAGGTAAGGCAGTATAACCGAGACAGCTACCTTGCGGCCTTCACTGCCCCGCGTCATATTCACTCTTTACCCCGCACCGTTCGGTGTCGCCCCAACCTCAGTCTAGCGGAAACAGAAGTCGGTGTACGCTCCAAACGACTGCGAATCGGAAGTCGCCAATGAAAAACTTCATCGGAATTCCTCATTCCCTTATTCACCTAACTCGGAGTACATATAGAGAAATTGTTGCATATGAAGTGAACGCTCATGTGTCCCAATAAATAGCGTCAAACATGGCCCTTCGATATCGTTGGCTGTTGGACGGACAGCAATGATGGATTTCTCTAATTGCCTGTTGACATCAAGCACGTTATAGGGGCATTATACTTCGGCAAAAGTGTCCGCACCAGGATCCGTATTGACCAAATCACGAGTAGTTATAAATGACGTGCGTCGCTGCAAGGTAAGGGGAAAAAGTGGAAGTCACACCGACATTCTGAGCATGTCTTTGTGTGAGCCACAGTACGTTTACTCTTCATGCTTCAGCAGTACGCCTAAACGTGAAGCTCCTTCCTCCATTTAAACTGACACTTAGAAAACAGTACCATCAGTTGGAGACGTAACTACAAATGTCCCTAAGTACTGGTAAGGTGGGGCTATGGCTTGCGTAAACCGCCTACCAATGCATCAAGAAAATTACCCCAGAACGCTTTTGTCCGTTTAGCTCAAATTGGACAGAATTACGGGGATTACTGAAACATCGTCACTTTTGATTGAAGCACTGAAGGTGGCTTGGTAGAGAAGTCAAATATAGCTTGATATCTACGTACAGACATTCGTGAGTGCTGTGACTGTGAGAAGGGTAATAGAAATACAGTTGGGGTGATAGCCACTATTCCAAGCCCATTGATCCTCGCCAGTGCGGTCGCATCGACTTCGCGCTCATCGTTAAAATGGAGTTCCTGCTCTGCATCTTCCGACAGCACATTCAGATTACACTAATAGGGATCGCACTAATACGTTCTATCCTCTGAGCCATCTTGCGATGAAGTACTTTCTACGGATTACAGTTCCAGTAATTCTAGCTGTTTTTACAACCTTCATGCTTAAAGTTACGCGTACAGTCTCACCGCATATTAATCAATGAACCAACTGTGTTACCGTTTTCAACAGAGCGATCTCTGAGGCATCCAACAAACCCGGATTATATCATATAGGGTGATCCCTAAGGCAGCTACCAAAGCATATGCAATCCACAGTTTGCCCATCATTCGCATCTAGCTTCGCGCTCATCCAGCTTGTTTCCCAGGTCCCGCCAAATAGCTCCCACCGATCGATCAGCTGACCAATTGTCTGTTACTCGTGTGCGCAAGCGTGTAGACGACCAACGTGGGACCGACATTAAGCACCGTCACAGTGCTGACCCCGAAAGTTGCAGTGACCCAGGAAATCTGCACCTAAACAGAAAAGTACAACCGGCACTCCAACACGCAACGCAACGTGTGCTCTTCAGATAAGTGCGGAAAAGTACTTGAGAATGGGATAACGTGTTATAACTACATTATATCGTCCCATTCTGAATAGTTGGGAAGCTCCGTCCACGAAGTGAGACATTTCAACAAAGTAGTCGGCGCATTTTGGTTTTTTCCAATATGTCGAGTCATTCGAGCTGTCAGTTGCATTTGATACGTTGACTGCGACAGGCGCGCATTTGGTGAATAGTAGAAGCGCACTCTCCGAGATGAATTTGGCCGCGGTCGTGTCCCAATCAGCCAATTCATGTTCCACGTCTAGGCTGAAGAAGGGAGCCGGACGATCCAACCACAGTGCAGTCTGTGTCTCCAAATCCCCTGGCTCACCTCACTCCCATAATCGAAAAAGCGTAGGGCGTGTCTGCGTCCGGTCAGCGGTGCAGCCCACATGAAGTCGGCAGCGATGATGGCAGCTGCGAGCCGGAGTTCATCCATCGTAGGGAAAACCCAGACATCGTACGCATCGATTGCCGGAGAGAACACCTCTTACTCGGGTGGCAGTACCGAGCAACATTTAGGTGCCACCGCCTCCACCACTACGCAAACCGTTAAAAAGGGTGGTAATCAATACCATCAAATCTGCAACCACAAAAAGGAATCTCGGT